GAAAGAGAGAAAGTGTGTGTGTGTGTGTGAGAGAGAGAGAGAGAGAGAAAGAGTGAGAGAAAAAAATAAAAAACTAACCAATTCGGAAAACAAAAGTCTAAAAAAATGTTGGCAAGGCAGCGATCGAGGGGAACACTTGAGTGTTTCAAAAGAAGTTTGAACGTTCTTCCCGCCAAGCGGCTGTCGAGCGTCAACCTGCGCCTCGGTAAAAAGCATTAATGACCATTTTATAAAATTGCACCTGCGTCTCGCAATCTCGCGTCGTCTCGCAATCTCTCGTCTCGATGTGTCTTCTGGCGAAGGTCACGATTATCAAACCTCCCATATTGTTCTCCCACCCCCATCGCTTGTCATAAGCGACGCACATTCCCACTTCCTCTTTGCCTTTATAAATGACACTGAAAGCGAATAAGTCAGAGATACAGAATGTGTGTGTGTGTGTGTAAGAGAGAGAGAGAGAGAGAGAGAGGAAAGAGACACAGGGAGAAAGAGAGGGAGGAAGTGAGAGAGAAAATAAACCAGAGAGAAAGAATGAGGAAGATGAGCGAGAAATAGGATTTAGGATCGGAAAATCTGAATGGAAAAATGAAAATAATGATACAATGAAGAGGAGTAATGGATGGAAACGAATAAAGAGCGAGTAAAAGAAAGAGAGAGAGAGAGAGAGAGAGAGAGAGAATGACAGTGAGAGTGACATCGTGAGAGATGGAAGGGGGAAGGAGAGAGAAAGTGTGTATAAGAGTGAGAAAGAGAGAGAATGAAAAGAAAACTATAAAGTACAGAAACAAAGATAAAAATGCATAACAAGATGGTGAATGTTGGGGTTGAGAGCAATAAAGGGACGCGGGTAGAAAGAGAGGAGGAGAGACGGAGAGCATGAAGGAAAGAGAGGCGAGAAAGAAAGAGAGGCGAGAAAGAAAGACAGAAAGACAGGGAAGGCGGAGAGAAGAAAGAAAGAGAGAGAAAGATAAATGGTACAAAATGAGGAAGTAGAAAAAATCTAAATAGAGAATAAAAAATGAATAGAAAGTGAGAGAAAAGGTAAGAAAAGGAAAAAGAGGAATACAAGTAATGTGAGAGGCAAGGAAAGAGTGAAAGAGAGTAAGAATAGAGAGAGTAAGTAAAGTACAAGATAACGTTATATATACAAAATGGAAAGAAAAGAGCCAGGCAACAGCGCAAATACGGACGGTTTTGAAAAGAAAGCATTAGATAGATAGATAGATAGATAGATAGAGAGAGAGAGAGAGAGAGAGAGAGAGAGAGATGTGGGGAGAGTCAGCTAAGATATGGGTATTAGGGAACGGAAATTAGATATAGAGCGAGAAAGAAACTGGGACTAATGAAAAGAAAGAAAGAAAGAAAGAAACAATGAAAGAAAGAAAAACGAAAAAAAACCGAAAGAAATAATGAAAGAATGAAAGAAAGGAAGAAAGAAAGAAAGAAAAACGAAAGAAAGAATGAAAGAAAGAAAGAAAATAAGAAAGAAAAAAGAAAGAAAGAATGAAAGAAAGAATGAATGAAAGAAAGAAAGAACGTTTATTTCTAACGAACTCATAGAAACATAAGAGAAATCATATTTAATGGCAAAAGTGGTTATTTTCTGACACAAGACAAATATTTTTTGAGGTAAATATGTTCCTTCATTTGGAAACTATTGAGTTAGGCAACAAGAGTCAGCCACTTAGAAGCGTTTATATATATATATATATGTCTGTTTGAATAAATTCCAAACGTTATGTCTGCTTATTTTGATCATAATCCTTTCATATTCACGAATATTTTCCGTACATTACAATTAAATACTTGCCCCATTTAATTATAATATACGGGAAAATCCAAAATATGGTGGGATTAAGATCAAAAAAAAAAGGATACATATGTTTGCAAACTTTAAAAATAAGAAATGTTTGGAATTGAATTACGTATACAAATTACACACACACACACACACACACACATATATATATATATATATATATATATATATATATATATAGAGGTAATATATTCATCAAAATTTATATATATATATATATATATATATATATATATATATATATATATGTATATATGCTGAATGATGAATATATTTTGATATATATATATATATATTAATATGTATATATATATATACATATATTAATATGTTTATATATATATGTGTGTGAAATGTAAAAATAAATTAGTGTGTGTAAAAACTTTTGTTTAATTATAACGCCTTTCATGCCCAGCATATATAGCCAAAGCAAACATGGCCTGAAAGATTGAGTGTTGGACTTAATTTTCACTTTCATATTTTTATCATATTCTATATATATATATATATATATATATATATATATATATATATAATTTTGTATAATTTTATATATCAAAACACAGTATTAAAAAAATAGTATGACAAATCACAAAATATCACAAAAATTTTTCCAATTTTCCCTATATATATATATATATATATATATATATATATATATATATATATATATATATATATATATAAACGTTTGTAATAATATTTCAAATTTTGAACGTTAATCTCCGCTCGTGTGTCTGGTATTGTACCCAACATTAAGTTGGCATTAGTAAAACGTACATATTGTGAGAGTAAGAAAAGGGAAAAGAGAGGAAAAGATGTTAAGTAAAATATTACAGAGGCACGCCTAGAGAAAGTTAATGACAAAGTAAGAGAGAGAGAGAGAGAGAGAGAGAGAGAGAGAGAGAGAGAGAGACAGACAGACAGACAGACAGATAAAGATGAGAATATCGAGAAAGAGAAAAAGTGAAATATTGCGAGAATTAAATGGCGGAAACAAGAAAATCGAAAAAGAATCATAAGCAAATACAAAGAATGATTCTTGGAAGAAGTCGAGAGGAAAATGGCAAAAAAAAATTCCAAGTAGAAAGCTCAAGGCAAAAGCGGAAAAAAAAACAGACGAAAGAAATAAAGAGAAAGAAAAAAAAAGAAAAACCTTCTCTGGGCGATAGAAAGAGACTGACAAGTTATTGAGAAAAGAAAGAAAGAAAGAAATAAAGAAACAAAGAAGAAAAAAAAAGGGAGAAAGAAATGTTGATAAATGAAAACATAATGAGGATGGTAGTTCCACTCCGCCATCAGCCCCCACCCGCTGTAAGCGACGAAGAAACGTAGTTCAAGTGGGGTAAAAAAAAAAAACCCAACAATCTGGAACCCGGAAGAAATTGGGACAATAAAGAAAGAAATAAAGAGAATGAAAAATGCCAAAAGGTATGAAGGAAAAAGGGAAAGAAAGGAAGAAAGAAAAAGAAATCAATTAAAAAAAAGTTATGCAAGATGGACTAAAGGAAAGAGAAAATAATAGCAAGGAAGGAATAAAAGAGGGAAGGACAAGACGTAAGAATGAATGATGGAAAGAGAGAAAAAAGAAGAAATATGTAGCAAACAATAATGAAGGAAGGAAAAAATATAGTAATGAAAGATTAAAGAAAAGAAGGAAGAAAAGAATGAAATAAAAGAAAGAAAAAGTGATCAAGAAAAGAAAAAAAAAGAAAACGGGAAGGATGGAACCGGAAGAAGGAAAAAAAAAAAAAAAAGAAGGAAAGAAAGAAAGAAAAAATAAAAAGCAAGAAGTTAGGAGTAAAGACGGGAAGGAAAGAAAAAACGAACAAGAAAGATAAAATGGAAGGAAAGGAAGAATGAAATAAGAGAAATAAAAAGCAAGAACTTAGGATTAACGGATGGAAAGAATGAAAAAGCGAACAAGAAAGAAAAAAATGAAGGAGGTAAAAGAAGAATGAAAAGTAAAGGAAGGAAGGAATGAAAAAGCGAACAAGAAAGAAAAAATGAAGGAAGTAAGGATTGAACGAAAAGAATGAAAAAAGAAAAAAAGAAGGAAGGAAAGAAAGAAATAAAAAGCAAGTAGTTAGGAGGAAAGGAGGGACGGAATGAAAAATCGAACAAGAAAAAAAAAGGAAGGAAGGAAGGAAGGAAGGATAGAATGAGAAGAATTAAAAAAGAAAAAAAAGGAAGGAAGGAAAGAAAGAAGAAACGAACGAATGAAATAAAAGAAATAAAAAGCAAGTAGTTAGGAGTAAAGGAAGGAAGAAATGAAAAAGCGAACAAGAAAGAAAAAAATGAAGGCTGTAAGGATAGAACCAGAAGAATGAAAAAAGAAAAAAAAAAAGAAGGGAGGAAAGAAGGAAGGAAAGAAGGAAAAAATGAACGAACGAATGAAATAAAAGAAATAAAAAGCAAGAAGTTAGGAGTAAAGGATGAAAGAAATGAAAAAGAGAACAAGAAAGAAAAATGAAGGAAGTAAAGATAGAACCAGAAGAATGAAAAAAGAAAAAAAATGGAGAGAACGAAAGAAAGAAATAAAAAGCAAGTAGTTAGGAGGAAAGGAGGGAAGGAATGAAAAAGCGAACAAGAAAAAAAAAGGATGGAAGGAAGGAAGGATAGAATGAGAAGAATGAAAAAAGAAAGAAAAAGGAATGAAGGAAGGAAGGAATGAAGGAAGGAAGGAAGGAAGGAAGGAACAAACGAACGAACGAACAAACGAACGAACGAACGAATGAAATACAAGAAATAAAAAGCAAGTAGTTAGGAGGAAAGGAGGGAAGGAATGAAAAAGCGAACAAGAAAAAAAAAAGGATGGAAGGAAGGAAGGAAGGAAGGATAGAATGAGAAGAATGAAAAAAGAAAGAAAAAGGAAGGAAAGAAAGACTGCTGAGAAGTGAAATAACATAATGAGGAAGGCAGGTTTTTTTTCGTAAGAAATGAAGAAAGCAGTTCAAGTGGAAAAAGTATAAAAAATCTCAAACTGGGAAGAAATTAGGACAATAACGAAGGCAAGAAGGAAGGGACAAAGGAAGGAAGGAAGGAAGGAAGGAAGGAAGGAATGAAGGAAGGAAGGAAGGAAGGAAGGAATAAAATCAGCCAATTGAGAAGCGGACCAAATCGGGAGAAAGAAAAGAAGTTAAAGAAAGGTGCTTAAAGACGTTTCCACTTTGCCAGAAAAATGCGTTCTACTTTTTTTTATAAAGGAAGACAATTACAACGTTCGATGGAAAAAAGGTGAGCCAAAAGAAGGAAGGAAGTGGCCATTTTGCACTGACACATATTGACCGAGAGATTCGCAGTTCATCTGTCGTTTATTATTTTCCTTTTCATGCAAAACGAAAAGCATTACAACGATTTTTCTTTAGTTTGTTTAAATCATACATTGTGTTTCAGATTCATGAGTTTATTCTCGCCTTCGTCATGGTGGGATGTGGCTGACGACATCAAGATGAGAAAGAAGAAATAACGGTGGAAAAGAAGCTGGAGGTAGATTCAAAACTTCTCTTTGAATATAAGATGATCTAAAATTAAGAAATTTTTTCTTTTCTTTTCTTTTTCTTTTTTTCTTTCTTTCAAAGTCTTTTCATATCTAGAATCAATATCTATCTATCTATCTATCTAAGGAATCTATCTATCTATCTATCTATCTCAGTCTGTTCAGATCAATCTATCTATCTATCTATCTATCTATCTATCTATCTGAAAAATATCTATTTATATCTATCTGTCTATATATCTATAAAATAAAATGTTCTATCTATCTATCTATTTATCTATCTATCTATTGAAATCTATCTATCTATCTATCTCAGTCTGTTCAGACCTATCTATCTATCTATCTATTTATCTATCTATCTATCTATCTAATAAAACATTCAATCTATCTATCTATCTATTATATTTTCTTTGAAACCGTTAAAATATCTATAATCTGTCCAAATATTAAAAATTTCAGTCTATTCCTATCTATCTATCTATTACAGATATCAAAAAAATCTATCTATCTAATATCATTTCAGTCTGAAAAAAAGAAAATTTCTATCTAAAATCTATCTATCTATCTTTCAAAAAATAGACATAATCATGCAATCTATCTAAAAAAATAAATATTATCCTTGAATTCATATCTATTTCTAACAATCGAAATAAAGTTTTAAATCATTCATATTTCAGTCTGAAACCTCAAATCTATCTATCTATCTATCTATATATCTATCTATCTATGTCTTAATATATATTATTAAAACTAAATCTGTAATATGTTTATTAAAAGCTTTTATTTATCAAAAAACATGTTAAAAACGTCACACAATAAAAGAATTAACATATAAAATGTATACATATATCTATATATATAAATATATATATATATATAATATGTATACATTAATATAGATTCTAATTAATATAATTTATATATATATTTTTTGTGTGTGTGTGTTTATACAATAATATATGTTTTTTTATATTGTGACTTTCCCATAACATCTTTTTTTTGAAATATTTATTTTTTAAAAGGATATACAAATATGTAATTATATATATATATATATATATATATATATATATATATAAAAATATATTAAAATGCGTGTTAAAAAAATTTATTTGTCAATTAATCGACTGAAAACAGATAAATAAATATTTATCTGATTCATAGAAAGAAGTCAACAAGCAAATGCAAAGTCATCCTCACAAATCTCCACCCATTGTTTCCCTTTTCCCAACGCGATAAGCAAAGCAGCTAGAGATCAAAAGACATACTGACAGATGAAACTGCATAAAAAAAAGCTTCTCTAACTTAATACACTTGTACTTCCTTCTGTAAATAATGAGATTTACTAAAATATATGATTTAAGAAATTTAACATTATCAAAGACAGACACATGTCCATTTTGACAAACATTTAAAATAATCCGTCCGTTTACTGTGTATTGAGGCATCCACAGAAAATCAATTTGCTAGCTCTTTTATATATAAAAACTTCCTTGGAAAAATGCAAATAAATTGTTGGAAGTTTATTTATTGTATTAATTCAGAATATGACTAATCACCAAGCCCAATATATATCGACCGTACACGACTTTCTTTCCTTATTCTTTTTTCTTTTCCTTTTTTTTTTCTTCTTTTCTTTTCTTTGTTTTTATTAGCTTTTCTTTTTCCTATCTTTTTTTTCCTCCTTTTCTTTCTGTTGCTTATCAGAAATTAATCATTTTTAAAAGAAATTCTGAACACTCTTAATTGGCCGACGATCCACGCTTCCACATTTCAGTATTTCTTGTCAAAACCATTTTTTATATTTCATTTGTTGTTGGCAAATAACTCACGAATTTTTTTTTTTATTCCTTATTTTATGTAATTAAAATTTCCATAATAAATATTTTTTTTCTCCGTGTTTTGTATGTACACATTTCTTTAACAGTTTAATATATATATATATATATATATATATATATATATAATTTCTTGTTCGATTTGCTAGGCTTGTTTAAAAACAGTTTTGTATTTTTATGAATTTTTAAAATAAAAATTTGTTCAGCTATTTCAAACTATGCATTTGACTATTTATAGACGCATCTGGTCGAAAGCTCTGATATCAAAAATTATTATTATTATTGACTGCAAAATGAATTTTTAAAATATTTTGAAATGATTATTATTAAATTATTTACATTATTCGGAAAAATTGTTTCATCTTTGTCGCCATATTTAATTATCTGAAAAAAAAAGACCAAATTTCTTAACCAATATTCTACAATTGGAACAAACCTCGATGGTAATGCAGAAAAGAGTTTAAAAATTGCATTCCAAGGTAAAATCGAAACTGCCCAGGTAGTATCATTGTTAAAATCTGTCAGAATAGTGAGGACAGTGCTGGGCCTGCTGTCACTTTATCTCGATTAAAGAGAAGAGATACGACTGAATACTTATATGAAAACTCAATTAGTATCGCTACAACTACGACCACCAATAATAATAATAATAATAAATAGCTTGTAAACTTCAATAGGTCAAAACACCGATCACATCCTTCGTTTTTTTCTATCACGAGGAACCATTGCACTTTCAAAGAGAATTCTTGCTTTTGAACGTCTCACAACTAATACATTCGATCCATTGCTAAAGATGTTCGAAAATTTTTTGAATTATTTCATCGCTCTAAGAAAGAACCTTAAGTCAGTTTTTGCCATGCGTGATAAAATTTGATGGAAGACGAGAATTTATTTTCGATATCATTATGACGAGTCAAAATTTTAATTCGTCTAAAAAGTTTTGAATATTTCTACTTTCTGCGGTAGACCAGTTGTCGTGAAAAAGCTATAGAACCCGGTCTGTCCTTTTATTTACCCATAGCTGGGGGTATGCATATTGGAGAATGAGGATTCATACTATTTACATTATTCGGACTATTTTATCATCTTTGTCGCCATATTTATTACAACGTTTAGGCAATTCATACGCTCCGGATTTTTGAGGTTCATTGGAATTTCGAAAAGAACCCTTTATTTCGTTCACTGGCGTAGAATGTTCTTCAGTATCTGTCTATATTATATTTATAGCTATATATATAAGTAAAAAAAGAAATATATAATGAAAACGGGACGCAAACTGTCACAGATCCTGGGTTCAAGAACAAGGATCAGGATCAACCTAAGACGTATATAAGCAGTAATCGCAGCGTTAAACCAAGGTACCTCAAATATACGATCTCCCTAAGATTCACAAAGACGGTATTCCGCTCAGGCCGATTGTTCCAGTTTGCCAAGGCTCTGTGTGCCACCCTCAAAATCGCTTCCTTGTAGATATAATTGACCCATTGATCGGAAAGTCTCCTTCATATGTCCGAAACTCCACCCACTTCGTGGAAATAATCAATCAAAGATGCTCCCATCCTATCCAACCAGATGGTGAGCTTGGACGTGGTGAGTTTGTTCACCAAGGTACCCACGGAGGAGATAACTCTCAGTAGTCAGAGACAGATTGGCCTCTGACTCATCCCTAGAAGAACGGACCAGTATTCCAATAGATAATCTGATGGAGATGTTGACTTTCTGTACACAAACAACACACTTCGGAATGGGATCACACATATATCGACAGGATGAGGGCTTAGCAATGGGCTCGCCATTATCACCAGCAATGGCGAATATATACATGGAATACTTTGAGGAAATGGCATTAGAATCTATATCTCTAAAGCCAAGTATATATGGTTAAGGTACGTAGATGATACCTTCATACTCTGGCCACACCAGGAAGATGTTCAGGTTCTACTGGACCATGTGAACTCAATAAGACCTTCGATACAGTTCACAATGGAGAAAGTATAATTTAACAACACACTCCCATTCCTGGATGTTCTAATATCTCGAACAGAGCATGGGTTTAAGACATCCGTATACCGTAAACCAACATTCACCGGACAGTACCTCAATTTCAACTCCCACCATCCATACAGCGTAAAGAAAGGGATCGTCCATTGCTTACAACACCGAGCAAAAGTCATAAGTGGTGACCCAGAGACGTTAGATAAAGAATTGGTCAGTATAAGTAGTACCCTACAACGTAATAACTACCCTGGGTACATGGCAGCAGCTCCCAAAAACTGGGATAGGCGGGTACAAAGGAGGAGGAGGACAACAACACTCAGAAAACAGTCTGCCTGCCTTATGTGAAGGGGTTATCAGAGAAAATACAAAGGATCTGCGGTCCATATAACATCAGGACAACCTTCAAAAGCTGGACGACACTTTGCAGATATCTCTCCCGAGTAAGACCCCCCCCCATAGAGGAGAACATGACTAAAGACTGTGTGTACGCTATCCCGTGCAGCTGCGGAAAGAAATATAAAGGGAGACAGGCCGCCCCCTTAAGGTAAGGCTTCAAGAACACCAGAAAGCTGTAACACGAGGGGAAGTGGAAAAATCAGGCGTGGCTGACCACATATGGAGAGAAAAGGGAGATCACCGCCCTCTGTGGGATCAGGTTGAGATCATAGACAAAGAACACCATTGGAAAATTCGTAAACTTAAGGAATCAGCACATATGCTAGGCCACAAAAATCTCCTGAGCCGACCAAGCATAGAAATGAATACAATATGGGAACCAGTAATAAGGAGTGCCAGAGAAAAAGCGATAATAACAACAAAAATTGCAATATGAGCTCTGGTAAAAACATGTAATGATAACAGCAAAAATTGCAATATGAGCACTGGTTAAAAATGGTTGCTGAAGACATTAGGTTTATAATACCCAGAAATTCATACACAGATGTCCTCAAGGACACATGGCACAGTGGATAAAGGCGTTGGTTAGATCAGTGACAGGACCCAAAAGAGTGTGAGTTCAATACCCGGTTAAGACAGTGGAGAACTTTCAGAGGAAATTAACAGGAGATAACTGATAACTGACATCCATTAAACATGGCACGTGGAACTAGAATAGTCTACCCCAGCGAGCGAAATAAAGGGTTCAGTTCGACATTCCAACCACCTGAAGAAGGAAGGTCAATGGCCGAAGCGTATAAAATGGCCGAAAAGATGTGAAACAATAGAAAATAATGTGGCGACAAAGATGAAAACAATAAATAAATAATGTAAATAAATAGAAATTGAATTATTCTGAAAATCAAAACAAAGGTTTGTGTTGTTTTTTTAAATTTTCTTTGGAAAGAGTCCATGTTGATGGATTGTAATATAATTTTTCTCATAAAAAAATAAAAGCATTTATAAAATAGAAAGACTCGTCAACATTTGTGAACACACAGACACAAACAAATTTTTTGTTTTTCAGTTTTAAATGGAGGACAAAATCTTGTTTTTAATCTTAAATATATAAAATTCATTTTTTTCTGAAGTTTTCAGTATAAAACAAAATGGATATTTTATTCTTATTTTTGGATAAAATTAAAATTTGGCATTAACATCGTCATTTAATTTTTTTATTGAGTTAAAAAAAAAAACGTATTCGTTCATAACGAATCTTAAAAATTTTAGATCTCAACTGGTGATTTTTTATTTTATAGGAAATATTTATCTAAATAAATCATGAAATATTTACATTTATTAATGAATGAGATTATGTGATTATCTTTTTGTGTTTAAATACACAAGAACACGAACTAACACCAATTTCTTGGAGAGTTTAGATGTAAAAATTTGTCAGAGGATTTATGTGTGCGTCTATATTTGATCTTTTCCTTATATAAATTTTTTAGGCGCATATGTGCTTTCTTTTGTGTTTATTGAATTTAAACCAGATAAAATTTTGAAATCAAAGTCTCTAAAAAATTTTAAATTAACTATTTTCTTTTGGAATACGTGCATGTTTAATCATTCAAAAAAATGATTCCAAGTCGGCGAGGAAAAGAAGACAAAAGTCGGGGAATTATTTTTTCTTTAATTCAATCAATATCAGGACAAACGCCTAGAATGTTACAAAGAATACGAAAAATAAAAATCTATTCAATGTCGTTTAAAATTAGAAAAAACGTAAGAAGAAACTAAAATTTTATTTTTTAAAAAAGGAAAAATCAATAAAAAAAATTTGTAAAAAATATTCACATTCAATAAAAATTGTTTTTCAAGTTTATTTGAAACTTTAACATTGAAATTAGAAATTTGAAAATATTTATCCAAATTATTTAGTTTATGTCATAATAATTTGCTTGATTAAAAAATCAAAACGACTAGGTTTTTCCAAATATAAACAAAAAAATTTATTCTGAACTGTTTTGGAACAAGGGCTGTTTATTCCAGCAGAATTGATTCATAGAGGTTCAAAAAATTATTTGGTTTTAGTTTAATTGCCTGTCCCTTCCCTCGTTATGTTGGTGATTTAAATGTCAAGAATCTGGCAAAACGTAGATATGGGAATTTTCCGTGTGTTTTCGTAATTTTTTAACTTGTTGTGAGTTTGAAAAAAAATGACACTATGATTTCTGTGTACAAGTGTAAAAATTTTTTTGGGATGTTTTTGTTTGTTTTTATATAAATTATTAAATTGCATTGATTTCGGCCAGCATGTCAAATGTTTTGAGTAAACATTAAGGATTGTGTTTTTTTTTTTTTTTTTAAATAAAATTATTTTGTTTAGTTTCTTCATATTAAAATACAGTCACAGTTAGACAAAACAAATTCTTTGTTTATTCCTTCTCATAGACAATGAATTGTATATGGTTCTTTATTTAGCATGCCCTTAGAGACATGAGGTATCCTTATTATCTTGAGTGTAGTAAGAAA